GAACTGCAGGCTTCACTTGCCTCAGTTAAGGTCAGTGTTCATGACTCTACCATAAGAAAGAGACTGGGCAAAAATGGCCTGCATGGCAGAGTTCCAAGACGAAAACCACTGCTGAGCAAAAAGAACAAAGGCTCATCTCAGTTTTGCCAGAACACATCTTGATGATCCCCAAGACTTTGGGGGAAAATACTCTGTGGACTGACAAGACACAAGTTGAACTTTTTGGAAGGTGTGTGTCCCATTACTTCTGGCGTAAAAGTAACGCAGCATTTCAGAAAAGGAACATCAAACCAACAATAAAATGAGGTGGTAGTGTGATGGTCTGGGGCTGTTTTGCTGCTTCAGGACCTGGAAGACACAGGGCCATGTAGGTTTGGATTTTTTTTCCCCTTAATAAAAACCTTCATTTAAAAACTGCATTTTGTGTTTACATGTGTTACTTTGTCTAATATTTCAATTTGTTTGATCTGAAACATTTCATTTCAGTGTGACTAACATGCAAAAAAAAAAACAGGAAGGGGGCAAACACTTTTTCACACCACTGTATGTTCAACACTATACCTTTGACCCAAATTTAAAAAGGAAATACAATTTGTGGGTAGTGCTATAAATAGCAAAAGAGCTTTGGATCGATGCCAAAGTACGACGGAGGTTAATTTGATTACTATAGATAGCTTGAGTAACTCTCGTGTACTTTTAAATGGTTCGTCTGCAAATGAAATCACTGTCATTATTTCTCAAGTAAACTGTTTATGAAAAAGCTCGTTCTCTTAAATTTAACAGCCTCGGACAAAAAAGCCTGTCGTAGGATAAGGTGGTTCTTGCATTTCCCTATTTTTTAAATAGTTTAAATGTAACCTTCACGTCTTCAGCGTGAACTGCATGTCATGGATGTATGATGCTTTAATTGTATAGACTATTCTTGCTGGCTGTAATTGGGCCACATTTAACTTGACACGATAAAGTGAACTGCTATAATTACTGTAAGTTGTATTTCCTCACACTCCACCGTACTCAAAAAAACACAAGTAAGGCGACTTTCAAAATACTTTGTCGTTTTAATAAAACACCATTTAGGTACATTGTAAAAAAACAATATAAACTTTCACATCGTATAGCATTGTAATATACAATACAATAATAGCTCAGCAATCTGAGAAGTTGTCATTTTTTACAAAATATATCCCCTACGTGTACATTTGAAAATAGAGAAAAAACAGGCAAAAAAAATAATAGATCTCTCGTAAAATTTTCAAATCGGAAGCACCAAACAAGAGTAGTCGTTGTGATGCAAAAGGTGGAACCGACACCAGCGCGGTCTGAGCGCCTTTAGCTCGATCTGGTCCCATAACGCCCGCTGCAGGAGGACAGCTCTACCACCGGGTGCCGAATCGCGGGACAGCCCTCTTCGTGTCGTTTATACAGTCTTTTCTACTGCGGGAGCTTCACTATTCCCTACTTGGTCAAGGTTAACGAAGTGATGAATCGTCACTCATGTAGGCACCTTGTTTGTTCTCGTCGTTTTATCTGCTGGCTCCGTTGTGCCGAAGACGGGTTTTGACAGCTGCAGGAGGATCAGCGACACAGGATCCGGTCGTCCGAGCATCCATTCTGAAAAGGACGAGAAAATGCAGACGTTAGGTCTCAAGCACACACAAAAACATTTCACGTTACCGAACCCTGATCACAACCATCTCCCTTTGCTCTCAAGAGACGAGCTACGACATGACAGGCTAATTAACCCGATTAATATTTAAAAAAAATAATCACTCGCTCAACATTTGCATGCATTTCAAGATGAGGGTGATATTTACCTCTACGGTGATGCTTGCAATCTCCGCGTTTAGGGTTGTCAGAGGGGACCGGGTGAGGGACGAGCCATTTGCCGCCTGCTGACGGTTTAAACCCGGGGAGTCGAGCTCCAGCTGCAGGTCCCAGATATAGTCAATGACGTGCTGCAGGATCTCCATCTTGCTGGCCTTCTTGTTGGGCGGCAGAGTAGGAACGAGCTCCTTCAGTTTGCTGTAGCAGCTGTTCATGTCGTAGAGGAAGACGTTCATCTGGTCGTCCAGCAGCGGGATCTTGCATTTGGAGATGGCCAAGCTCTGCTCGGACAGGCACCGCACCACATCCTCGCTGCCGGCCTTGTTCTTCAGTGCGCAGGTAGATCCGACAACTTTCATCTTGGTTGTCTTTTTTTGCCGTTCAAGCAAGGTAATGTTTTCCAGTTGGAAGATCTGCGAGGTACAGAGAAAGCTGAAAACTGCTCGACGGTTCACTGAAAGGCTTGAGGTTCAAAGAGTTGCGTCTTGGCTTGTTATGCCTCTTTTGGTCAATGACAGCTTGTAACGCGAGTGTCGCCCGGCGTCTGGTATTTATTGTACTTCGGGCTGTTGTGGGCGGGGCGCCTCCTCTGTTGTACTCGAGGTGGAAAGCCAATGGGAAGCCGATCGTCGCCGGAGAGGGTGGGTCCTCCTTCTCGGACCTGGCCAATCCGAGCCTGGGCTTGGTTATCAAAATTTACAATCTGTTAGGGGATGGTGTTACAAATGGAAACAAATGTGTTTTTTTATGGGTGATATGTGGGAACCCAGCTGTCCGTCCCTCTGGGACTCTGCAGGTGTAGAGATTGCCTCGAGACATGGGTGGGGGGGCATAATCAGAAGAATGTTGCAATTACTTTAGGATAAATAGGCTTATAATTGTACGCTGTAACCGCACTTGGCAGAAAAGGGCATATTTCTCTATCAGAGCAAATACATAGAAATAATACAGTAAATATGAGAACGAGTTCGGTCCCGCAGGGTTTATATACGTTGGTATAATATTAAAAATCCCTGGCCTGAAAACAAAACGCAATCCATTCAACTTAAGTCACGTATAATTATGTAGTTTATTTTGCTGTAAAGCCGTCTGCATTTGTATAAATAGCCTACCTGAAGATTTCATCAAATAAAGCATTTTCTAGGGCCAGTTTATTCACGCTCTGGAGCGACTGAGTTTATATTTTCTGTGGTTTGGAAAAGCTGTCAATCAGTCAATGATTTTTAAATACATCTGTCATGTTTTGGACTTATTATGGTTGTCATAATGAGCTGTAATGTGGGAAATACTATAGTAAAGTGACTAATATTTATTTTCCAAATGCAAAATTCAAGCTTGACGGACATATGGATAGACCGATGAAGAAGCATTAAGACTCCAGAAACAGTATACAGGCTTTTAATATAATACTGTAGAAATGATACAATTCTATTAAATCACTCTTATATGCTATGTGTTGCACGCACATTCCCATACAGCATCGTTTAACATATTAAAGAGCTCTTTATACTTACAAATCGCATATTTCTACACTCAGCCCCCTCTTTTTTCCCCTTATTAAAAAAGGTTCCCTATGAATAGGTTTACAGATTCTTTCACATGTTCCCACTGTGTGTTTAGCGTTGTGTGCATTGAAATTGCATTGCTCTGCTCTGAATCTTCCCCAGATTGTCCAAACAAGCCGGAGCAGACTGGCAGGCGCCAGCCCCGTGACGTCACCCATTCATACAATCCCTGACGCCTGTCAGCCTGGCGCCGCGCGGGCGGTCTCCATGGAGACCACAAACAACAGGCTCACACTCCCCCATTCACCTGCGCGGCACAAACCCTGAGAACAAACTGGCTGCAGAGATCGTCATTCATTTATCACCTAAAACCGCTCTCCGAAGAGATTACCGCCCCGCACACCTGCAAACTGCCATTGTCGCCGGCTTCCTCGATCCTCAAAAGAGAAAGCGAGAGAGAGAGAGAGAGACCAAGGGCTTTGAATTGCAATGATAGCTTTTGGATGCCACCAGATCTGAGTTTTTTTCCGCATAGCAAATTCCTGAAAGATGATTGTAGCTCGATCCGCGACCATTCCGTTACATGGAATCGAGAGTTTGAAAAGCTGTAGTTTCAAATGAGTTATTGTGTAAACCACCCGTAGAATATCTCATCTATATGTAATATTTATATTTTTATATTAGCATATGAATAAACAGACTATATCAATTTGAAATTATTTTATTAATCTACGTTGTGATTGTTTGTTAATTTTAATTTTTTTAAAAAAGAATGAAAATAACGTTACAAATATTACCATTACCGTTTATTTGTACGTTTGTTTTTAGTAAACCTTGTGAAAATGAAATATCGTTTTCATAGGCACTGAAGTTACTCTACCCCTATGACCACCATATATTTTCATATTTTCGCATTTCTGCACAAAATGCTGAAAATTTTTCAAGATCAGAACCTGGGATGTCTTTCACAGCTTACAGTTTGGAAAGAAATAGGTTAGTTTACTGCTAAAGAATCAGAAGAAGTAAATCAGAATTTAAAACAGCTTAGTCATCTTACTAGTTATGTGTCTCAGATTGTGTTGTATTCAAGTATTGAAAATCTCAGCCACAGTGCAGTTGTTGCAAATCCCTAAAAATTCAATTAAGTAAACTTGTCTAGCAAAAAAAAAGGAAAACGCATGCATTTAAAGGAAAGCATGCATTTATCTGCAAGTTTTCAAAAGACAAAGCAAAAGTAACTGAGAAAAATGATCAGTGCTGCTGGGATTTTGAGCCAATGTTTTATAGAGTATATACTGCTAGAAAATGAAGTGTTGTTATGGTGGCTATGTTAATTCTTTAACCAGGACTCTTGCAGTGCTGTAAGCGAAACATGCCCTGATTTTCTCTTGCTTTTTTTATGGCAAAGTGACACCTCTCTCCTAGCAGAGTTTAACATCCTGTTGTCCTGCTTGTCCGTTGTCTCAGGTCATGGCTGAGAGAGCTGGGGGCACAGCGAGAACAATAGGCGAGCCGAGTAAGGTTTGTGGGAGAAATCTAGGCTGGTGCCACAGTGTCTGGAGCGCCTCTTTGCTCTCTCATCCAGCTTTTGTTCAGCTGCAAAAGCTATCAGCACTTCCTACTGACACCGACAATAACTCCACACAGCTGGGCCCTTTTAATCTTGTTTACAGCACATCAAGGCAGGGAGAGGGAAAAAAAAGTGAAACATATTAGCTCCTGATTTTAACTGACAGAGAAGAGCTGCCCCCCCACTGGTCAGCTGCGGCACAATGGTTAATTAGAAAAGGTTAGATTATTCGTGGTGGGTTTTAAATGAGCAATTAACTGATGTGTAAAAAAACAAGTTCCGTGGCTTCTCTTTACCCCTCTCCCCCTTACTCGCTAATCTTCCCATTATTTTATGTATTTTGCATTAATAATGAATTGAAATAATGAGCCAAACATTGCTTGGCTCATTTGGTGTGAATCCAGAAGTGGAATACCAGCAGTCGCTAACTCCACCCTTGAAGGCAGGCTTCCATTTTCCAAGATTTCTCTGCATCTTTTCCTTTCAATGTTTTCCATTTTTCGCAGAGGAAATGTATGGGCCATCCACGCCCTCTTTATCTTTTATTGTTTTTTCTGACGGGCAAAATCCAAGAAAAGAAAGCTTGGAGGAAGAAAATCTAGGTGTCAAGTTAATATTAAGGAAAAAAGACGCAGCCACTATGATTATTGCAAAGGAACAGGTAAGGGGTTTATTCCACGCTGAAAAGAAAGGAAACCCAACGTTTGGGCCGTGGAGCTTTCTGCAGGTCCAGTTACCTGCTGCTCTGCAGCCTACGCATGCTGAAGCAGTACCTACTTGCACTATTATTATGTCTGCTAATACAGAAAGGTACTTCTGTGAAAAAATATCTTAATGTACAGAATGGTTTTAAAGACTCAAGTGATACAATAAGAAAATAAGACACAAAGTAGACTAGGCCACTTGTTTAAGGGCTTCAGTAGAGCAATATTGTAATTTATTATTTCAACATCACATACTTCTTCCTTGCATTTATGTAGAGCTTTTCATCCCAAAGGATCCCAAAGCACCCTAAAGCACTGAGACACAACACCCTCTTACATGATATGCGGCAGCCAGCAGTTCAGGAGGAGTAGAGAGAGGTTACTTCACCAATTGAATGAAGGAAAGATTGCCCATTAGGCCTGGCTGCGGCCGCCCAGATTGAAATTGAACTGGGACACCTGGGCAAACAGTAACATGGGATCTTTAGAGAGAACAGAGGAAAAAGTTACAAATTAAAAGAGGACATTCACTCAGTTCACCCTGTTCGGCTGATAGTAGCTAATTGATTCATGGATCTCAGCCCAGCCGTGACCAAGTAATCAGCACTGTGATTTAATGTCAGGATGTCATCTGAATGACAGAACTTCCTTTCGCTCAGTGTCCCTCGTCACTATACTAGGGCTTTGGTTTGGAAATTCTGGTCCCCAGGAAAACATTGCTGCTCTACGAGTCCTAGCTCAGTAACGACCAGGCTCAGCCTTGCTTAGCTTCTGGGATCTGATAAGATCAGCCTGCAAGACAGTACAGCGTCTGTCCCATCTCTAACAGGAATGGAGTCTTGTGAAAGTGATTCAAGCACAGAGTGATTTTTCAACTGCTCAGACAAGGCTAGGAGCTAGTGAATGTGGTGCAACTGAAACTGTGAATTCTTCAATTGTAGTCAAGCAGAATTGGATTTTAAGAGGGAAAACCCACCCTTGTACCAGTACAGTAATTGCAAACTCAGCCTGCTACTACCCAAATGAAGTGTTAAATCCCCCTGAAGCAGCCTCATCAGGCTATCCTATGGTAGCTCACTATGAGCACTAGAGAGGTTTGGAAAGCACAAGCATAGTGCAACATTTAGGGCTGTTTGTGTCCAGCATTGGGTTTCTGTTCATCTTCAAAAGTGAACACTAAGAAAACCTGTTCTGGCGTCAATATTGAAGAATGTGGTTTTGGTTTTGTATAGAAAACACGAACTCGGTAAATTGGAATTTCCCACCTCTTTACCTTTTTTTATAGTCGAAGGCATAATTCTTTTATCTATTTTTTCTTAATTACACTGAGCTGTGTATGATTATATTTACATAGTGGTAAAACTCAGCGCCCTAAAAATTCTACAGCCAACAAGTAAAAAAATTCATTTGCAACTTTTAAAGCTTTTCTTGGATGTGCAGAATATTTGTTTTATATGGTAGATGTACCTAGGCTGTAATTTATCCACTACGAAGGCAGCAGTCAAGCAAATTAAGTGTGCAGTATATGTATATATGCATATGTATACAAAGATATGAATGTGTACATGCAAGTGTGTGCTTGTGGGAGTGGGTCTGTATATAAGGACATTCCACACATCCTCATCAGCTGTGGGATGTGTCAGTGTTTCAAAATATTTCATTCCTGTTTAACTGATAATGATCACCTGTACGCAGGTGTGCAAAGCTTAGCAACAGCACAGGTGGGGGACCTCTGTATTCGTGGGAACTTGGCACC